TGAGGGCATTTGGGGGCGGTTTTGGACATTTCAGGAGGCTCATGAGAGCATTTGGGGGCTGTGTTGGGCGTGTCTTGAGCTCATTGTCGGCAGACGAACCAGTGTCCCACGCCCTGTCCATTGTCGAGCTTTCGTCCCAGCCCGTGGCTCTCAAGTTTGTGAGAGCTCCGGAGCAGCAAAATAAGCTCTGCATCATGTTGTTCAGAAAGATTTCGTAGCACGGTCCGCACTGGGCTAGGCTTCTGACTTGTGGTTTGTACATGTTCGGGCCTTGTGGTTTGCGCATGTTCAGGCTCACAGTTTTTCTCGTGCATCTAGGAATACTTAGGAAAACATCTAGCTGTTTGCAAGGCAAGTGAGTGCTAATGATGTCCTCAGTCCTACCCACACGGTGATGTTGACTTGGTACGTCAGCAGGTCTGATGACCGGCTACTGGAAACTGATGAGCTTCCCAGAGACGGACAGTTGCAGGTTCGTTAGTTGCTAGAGTTTGATCGCGCAGCACAGGGTATTAAGGTAAGCAGATCAGACGTCAGCCTTGGCAGGGCTCTCAGCAGCCTGGCGGCTGTAGATACCATTCTTGCGATAAACTACCATTGCTGAGCAGCTTGATGCAGAACAGCAGCAGGAGCTCTGATGTGTGTGAGATTTTCTATATTCCACGCCAGGCCCTTTGTTGCCTGTGATTCAAGCCGCGCCTGGCATTTAGTCCGTTCTGTGAAAAATTCGCTCGTTGCATGCTATGCGCTGCTGCCGGATGCTTGAAGATCGGCAGGCAGCTCATGCTTGTGCAGTGCGGGAGCAGAAGTCGTTTGAATCAGTTTCTGCGTTTTCCACGTCATGCTGGTTACTTGGAGCTGATCTCTCCAAGTTTCTCACCTACCAGGTGACACGTGCAAAGATGTGTCTGACGAGTACTACTGCATGGGCCTGCCGTTTCGACGCGGGCCGACACTTGTGTGAGTCATTGTGAGTCACATGGGTTCCACATAGCCCAAGCAAAAAACAGAAGCTTGATAGGGTTTGGCACCAATGAGGATGATGGAGGCTTGCTCCCTCATCTACGGGCGTTTTCCATGGATTCCTGGCTTTGGACATTGTCGCTGATCCTGCAGCGCCTTTTTCATATCCAAGATCCAGCCTCTCTCTGCATGCTCGTGTATCCGGTTAATGCCGGGCATGAGGCGCATGATTCTCTTACCTGGCCAAAGGGAGCCCCGGTACGTGTAGTCTCTTCAGCTGAAACTTCTGAGCAGTGTGGTTGCCCAGGCCAAGTCGGGGGGTCCTCTTTAGCGCTCATGTCTTCCTTGAACAGACAAGCCTTGCCAGAGGTCTGAAAAGTGGGATTTTCAGGAGCACCCAGGTCTATTTGCGCCTGAAATGTGGCGGTTTCTAGAAGTGAGCAACACTCGCCCGCACCTGGCTCAGTTGCAAAGGGCTACTCGGGGCTGTGAAAAGGCGCTCGTTGCCGAAGCCTCAGGCACTGATCGGTCAAGCAAGCGCAGCATCTGATGATTCTGCAAACCACGTATGTGTTCACGTGGACACGGTTCGGAAACCTGTTCATGTCGCGTTGACAACTGCTCGTGTGTCAATGGTGCTCGTGATCCAAGGCCCCCATGGACGGAGTGGCTCTCGTAGTCGCTCCCATGCAACAACCACGCGTCGCATCATGCATCATGCACTAGCGGCATCCACATCGCTTGGACTTTTCCGGGCTCTTTCTCATGCGTCCGCTTGCACATGCTCATCTCTAAGTGTGCACTAAGCTTGCGTTCGCATCTCTCACCACACCACATGAATTGGCTTCCGATTCTGTATATTGGTAGATGTAAAATCTAAAGCAGTTCAAGTTGTTTGTTTGGCCAACACTTTGTTGCTACAGCAGTAGCCGGAATCTGGTGCGCGACTCAGCTTCTCACAGTTTTGCTCGGCTTCCTGGCATGGTTTTGGCTGCTTGGTGCCATTTATGCAACAAGAATAATGGTAGTTTTAGCTGCAGGTGTACATAGGCACGGCGCACGCTTGCCAGTGGCACAAGTGCCCCAGCTATGGCTGCCACTTGGCAGGCATATGACTTGAATGGAAGGGCCTCAATCATGTTTACTGATCATTCCTGATATTCCAGTTTTCGGCCGCAAGCATCCTTGCACCAGCCAAGGCCGTCCCTGTGCCGTGCTGAGCTGTGGGGAGTGTGGTGTCAGGCTTTGCGAAAGCATCAACTTCAGACCAGCTGCTCTTGAGGAGTCTCGAAGGGACACTCGTGATTTCAAACGGGCTTCGCAGCGATCTACGCCGCAGAAGGCCATAGGGAACGCTGTGGGCACCGGGGCGATGTTGAATTGAAGCTTCCTGTATGGCTTGGATCAGAAGGTCTCTTGCGGGCTTAGCAGGTCTTTCTTGAGTCCCAGGTTTCTTCATGAAGTTTCCTGTGTAGGTTTTGAGGAGGGATCCTCCCTAGGATTATTTTGACTAGCATCCAGACCAGCAGGGCTCAAGAGTTCGGGTTTGCGCCTTGAATCCAGTTGTGAGATGCTTGTAGGGAAAGAGGTTGGAAATTGGGCATAGACACACGTACTTGGTTGCAATGCTAACGATGCTGAAAATTCACTCAGGAGCCTCCAATCATTGAAGCCAAACACCTGACAGCCTTGCTCAGGCCGCCCCGACTCCGCAGCATGGCCCTGCCGGCCGCCGAAATGCGTTTGGAGCTCTGGACGGAAGGGTTCCTCGTACCGACAAGACTTCCAGCAATGCTGTGAGGCAGCCAAACCACTTCTCTATCGAGCAGGAGGTCAGGACCAGGCACGCTGGCTATTGGACTTGTGTCTGGGGCAATGTGAACGCTGAGAACTCGGGGTTTCGGTGTAGAAGCTGGCACTTTGCGCGCTAGGCTTGCTGAGAATGAGATGACCCCCGAGGCTGACGGCTCTGTTGGCTCTTAAGGGCTCCCAACCATTGGTGTGACTCAAGTCCTAGAGACCTGCGAGCCTGAGCCTGCGAGGTGAGGGAGCGAATGAATCGCTGCGTCCTTGCTCTGGAGGAACGCCTGGGCTTAGCAACTCTGTCCATACAGCACGTTTCGCTGCGTGCTTGAGTATGCAACATGTGCCTGCAAGCAGGAAGTTGTGCTTCGACTGGGCCCAAATTGGCGTGTTCCACAAGCTGAATTAACCAGCTGGTCGGAATTGATTGCGCATATGTTAGGGTCCGTGGGCCTGTGGCATTGTGCGATACTGCACTGCAAGAAAGGAGTCCCCTCAGGTTAGCCCTTTTGGCAGTGCCGCCAATGGCTTTGGCACAAAGGCGCATGGATTGAAGTAGCTTGCAGAGTGAATCTGCCTGGTATGCTCCACCCTGGCAGTTCTCGGACTTGGATGCAACGTGCTATGAGCTTCCACCCGAGGAGGGGAAGGTGCCGCGTGACCGCGCGGTCAAGCATCTGTTTTGGCTCTGCACCCTGCAGCACTGCAGGAACCTGAGCAACCACAGCAGCCTGCAGCTGAAGTTCTAAGCAGGAAGCTCAAGGAAAGTGCCGCAATCTCATCCCTGTGCTGTCCTTGCATTGTAACTTAGGCGAGCGCCTCGCACCCTTGTTGCGGGAGCACCCGGAGTTTACCATGGCGCAGGAGGTGCGATGTCTGACTTGCGGCCTCCTGCCCCGTGAAAGCGAAACCGATGCTTCGACACTTCGCACAAGGTTTTACATGCTCGCGTGCCCATTCTGAAGCTGTGCTTTGAGGGCAAGTTGGAGGCTGGGGGAAAAGTCGACCTCGGCCTTTCAACTTGTGAATCAGCTTGCGTGTCAGGTGGACCTCTCGTGCCACAATACGTTACCTCTTCAGAATACCAAGTTGCTGAAGGCTTGCTTGTTCATGTCCTTGCATGTGGCATTCAACGGGCATGCTCCTCCTCATCACGAAAGCTCCTTACAGGGAGCTTTGTTTGGTAGAGGGACGCCAATGCCAATTTCGTTGGCTCGGAGGGCCTTTTGGGGCTAATTCTTGGAATTTATTTTGGGGTGATCTTGGGGGGATCTTGCGGGGGGGGATCTTGGGGGGCTCTTGGGGGTGTTGGGGTGATTTTGGGGGTGGATTTTGGGGATCTTGGGGGGATCTGGGGGGTCTTGGGGGATCTTGAAGGGTCTTCTTTTTAGGAGGGTTTCGGTAGGAGGGTTGCAGTTCTTTGGGCAGTAAGGGCTGGGCTGCGTGTTCTTCTGGTTGTATATGGTCTGTCTCTTCACGTCCTGTCTCGCCATTCCTGTCCATTATCGAGCTTTCGTCCGAGCCCGTGGCTCTCAAGTTGTCATCATCATCATCATTCTCATCATCATCATCATCATCATCATCATCAGGCGTACTCTGCCCTCGATGAGAGGGTCCGAGATTTGGTGATCATTGTCAAGCTGTGGGCGAAGGCGCGCAAGCACGGGCAGCAGCATGCATACGGTGTCTCTTCTTTGCGTATACATTCGCGAAAGCCCACGCGGGAACATGCTGCATTCTGGCTGTAGATGTTTAATTTCTCAATTCCAATAATGTGAACTTGCAAGTTTTTGGGGTAGTGATTTGCCAGTGCCGAGACCCACCTGAGTCCTGACATCCTAACCGAGCAGCTTGGTACATTTGCCAATTTTCAACGTTGCCAGGCATCGTTTGGAACCTTTCGCACATGATGGATGTATAGCGTTTTGCATTTTTAACTTCTTCCACCTTCCGCAACTGGAATGGATTGCCAAGCCCTGCCCAGCCTGAATCACTTCAGCCTTTTTGTTCAACGCGGCATTACACGTTCTTGATTAACAACCGCAGATCGTTCCCGAGTGAAAAAAGAACAAAACAAGCCCGAGAAGAAACATCAAGACATAGTATTTTTACCAGGACAGGGGCGTGTGCGGCGCGTCTCTCTCACATCTGTCCTCCTACGCCCTGACGCTCATGGCCATCTACTTCATGCAGGCACTCTACTAAGGAAGACTGTTGTTTCCAAGAGAGTCACCCTACTTCAATGTTAATGTCAGGTTGGAAAGGACGATGACTGTAGCGCAGACTTCACAGCTCCAAGTGCAACAGCAGTAGCGTCATGATTCATGATGGCAAGCATGGGTTTGCCATCATGGTCATCCTGTTTGCAGTGGCTTGGAAGCCGTTTTTTTGCCAAACCTTGCAGCTGGTGCCACTGAAGCAGGTAACTAGCAAATGAGTTTATTGTAGAGTCGAGACACTAAAAATCATGTGACTCGCCTTGCTGGGAGGTGCACCCGAAGATCCAACTTCCAATGCTGCCCCCCAACGCTTTCAAGGCAGGTTGGTGTTTGGCCACGACCTGCAAGTTTTTTGGAATTGTTTGCCTTTAGAAGGACAACTACGAGTATATGGGGCTCGCGCATTACAGCCACAATGAACATGAACAAACTAATCGGCGAGCGGTGTTCAAGGGCATCCTTGTATCGATTCGAGAACCTGCCGCACCAATCCGCAACCAGGGTTTGTTTGCGTTGGTTGGTCTGCTTCAAATCTTCTTCAGAACAGCGGAGACACCCGAATTATTACTATCAACGCAGCAGGAGCGGGAATGTTCCAAGCCTTTGCTACTGTTGCTGGAGGAAGCTATGCACCACCTAGGCTTCTAAGTTATTTCAAGTTCACAGAATTAGGGGGCTTAAGGTGGTTTTGGATCTTCCCGAATGTACCAAGCGTATAGTTGCCATGACTGCCATGACTGCCTGCGATGACTAGGAGGGCTGCAACATCGAAGTCGGCGCGGCCAAGGTGGAGGCGGGGACTTTGAAAATGGGGGGCATATGGGGAGAGAGAGTTATATATATCATATTACATTATGTTATATCATATTATATATGGTCCTACGCTCTGCGTTCCCAGCCCCCCCCAATCCCCCCAAAGGTATGCTTCAACAGTGCTAACAATCACAGGGATGGGGCCCCTCGGGGTCGTCATCCTCGTAACCGACGTGACTTTCGGCCCCTGCTCTCATCGCGCCTCAAAAATACCAACAGTCACAGGGATCGGNNATCCTCAGAACTGTCGCCACTTTTGCCCCTTAAAGTATCAACAGTGACAGACATAAGCCTTCTATAGAACCATGAATCTATGAGTTCCGCCCATGAACCTAATGTAAACAACAAGACCCAAACCATGAGCCACAGGGGGGTAGGTTCTGAATCATCTACAAACAGTGCAAACCCTATCTAAACTCTAACTTACAAGACCGAGACCACAGGCCACAGGACTACAGGGGGGTGGGGTGACGGGTCACATTTTTTTGTCGCACTTCAAAAGTATCAGCAGTCACAGATATAAGTTTTCTCTAGAACCATGAAGCTATGAACACTACAAACGCGTTCTATTCCCTCCACAAATCTAATGGAAAAACAAGACCCTCTCTAAACATTTTCATCCAACCTACAACACCCAGACCACAGGCCACAGGACCACAGGGGGGTGGGGGGTTATAGTTTAATCTTGATCTAGAGCTTAGAAGAGACCCACCGCAGGCCACAGGACCACGGATGGGGAGGGGGGGTGGGGGGTTATACTTTTATCTTGATTTAGAGCTTAGAAGATAGCAACCATACCATGGGGGGGGCCATGGAAACTACTATGTAAAGGAGCATTGTAAAAAAAGAGTAGTTCTTCAAAATCGTCACCAGCAGCAAGTCTTCAAAACGAGGGATCGATGGGAAACAGTTAGCCTGTCTTGTGATAGAGGGGGCCAAGCCTTGGTGTTGGGGTTTGAAGCTTCGTTGGGGAGCCATTCTATAGTCCCAGCTTCCATTTTATTTTGTATTTCTTTTGCATTTGATTCCCGGTTATTAGAGATGATACCCTCTCTCTCTGTATATATAATAATGTATATATATATATATACACATACCCCTCTTTATACATATGCACTCATATATGTATATGTATATACATATATATTCATATATATATATGCCATCACATGTGTATATATATATATAGATAAATGTGTGTGTGTATATACATCCCTATATACCCCTTAAATGGACCTAGGGTTTCCATTTCGTTCCCCTGGCCTGCAAGGCCGCCCGAAACTCTTGGAAATGCCATTAGCTCGGCTCAGGGCTTTGAGTTTAGGGCCCCCCAAGTTTTCAGATAGGGTTTTGCTCCTATCCCCGTACAAGCTTTTTTGGCATCCCCAAGGAACCATTGAACATGTCTAATGGGTTGAAGGGGATTAGAGTTTCAGGAGATTGGCTTGGCTTGAAACAGAATGGCATTCATGGTGTGTTGGGGTTCTTGGCATGGCTGCAGTCTTGCGCCGTCCACTGCCAGCAGCTACGATATGCAAGTTGCAATAAACTCTTGGCTGCAGCCTGCACAGAGGGTCTTCCACACTACGTCACCCCGTCTTGGGAGACTGTCCTGCCTGTTTGCAGCAATTGCAATGTTGCTATCAGCTATATACAAGTAGATCCCTCAAAAATCAACAGGCGTCCGGTGCTTCTTTCTCAAAATTCCATTTCTTCGCACATCTACACTTGTCACAGTATTTGTGACATGTTTAAAGCCATCCCAAGTAAATTTCAGTAGTTTCGCTTGCAGCCCCCTGTGCCGGACGTTTCGTGCGCATGATCAACCGAGGTACGTGAATATGCAAGTTGCAATACAAAGTTATTCCGTGAAACTTACGCCAGGCGGCTTAGGCTTCTATCGGATGCTTCATATAGAGCCTTGAGAAGCCAGGGGATGAAAGACCGACCCACTCCTAGGCTTGCTGAAGCTTGAAGCTCCACTGCAATCCCTGGGCTTGCCTGAGGTTCTTTGAGCCTGGGGCAGTTCGTCCTCCGGTTCTTCAACTTTTACAGTCTGGCCCGGGGGTTCAGGGCTTGTGGTGTCCAGGGTTCAAGAGGTCTTGGTTGACATCGAGTATGGGGCTGGCTGATCCTAGAAAGTATGCTGGAAGCCTTCAAGTAGAGTCTGCCGCTCTTCCATTGCCAGGAGTTTGCTTGGGGCGCTGAGGCCCTGCGCTTGGAGGGATTTGCGATGTTGAGGGTCTCAAAGTATTCATGCCGGGGTGCCGGACATGCGTGAGAAATCCTGAGACCTGAAGGGCCGTGTGAATGGGATGGGGGTTTGATGGTCCAGCTTGCAGCCTGACCTCTGTCCTCTTCCGTCGATCATACATTGACATGTTTTCTGCTAAAGAGCATGTTATGCAGGTCGTGATTCCTTGCCACATCGCTGACCTTGCCCAGGTGGTGTCTGTTCGCCTGCCAAATCGCCTGGATGCATCCGAGAGCCATGTTTCCAAGTTGAAGGGAAGGCAGGCTTGTGTGGTGAGAGCGTCGATGCGTCCTCCGTCCGATGTCCCCAAACTCCCAGCCTGTCTGTCAGGGCCTTCCGCCGGCTGCACGTCGAGGAGCGTTGTTTCTGCAAGTTGGCACTGGGACGCAAGCTGTTCCGCAAACTGCTGGCAGGACCCTGTGGATGAAACGCGCAATCTGAACTGCGTTCTGGGAGACATGCAGGCTTTGCAGCTGTATCTTGCAGCAACGCGCATTAGAAACTGTTGCTGTTGTAGTTGTGAGAATGAAAATTCAATGTGCTCGTTCATGCTCATAAACATGATGACCCTGGTTGTGGCGACCATTTTATGACGCCCAACGCCCTGGCATGAATGTCAACACGTCTAGGCCTTAGCAAGAGTAGTTGTCAAGTTGCTGAAGGGCCCTGGACTAGTGAAACATGTGGATGTGCCTTTGCGAGGGTGGCTGCGCCCCGCGCAGCATTGTTTCAACAGATGTGCCTCACAGCCCCTGGCGTGATGAATTTTATTTATGCATCATGGCACATACTCAAGTGCCGCACGTGACAGCGCCTGTACCCGTGCAGGAGCTTGAACTCCAACGTGCTTTGCAGGACAGGTTTGTGGAAAGCATGAGGCAGTCCAGAAAGAAGTAGATGTGTTCCCCAAAGCTGTTCATGTTTCACAGGACACATACTCCCGCCTGTCA